CAACAGTCTACAAAATCATTAACTGTGTCTACTTCATATTTTGATGAATACAAGCACAGACTCATCATATTAATAAAGGCTGCTGCAGATGATGCTCGTGAAAACATTTCATTGTCATGATCTTTCATGGCTGAGTCTCGGTGGTGGCCTCTTCCAAATCCATTTCAGGTGTTTCGTCACCAGTTGGCCCTGCTGCTGCAGGAGGCGGGGTTTAAAGTTACCTTCCCCCTCTGAGTGGATCAGAATCCGATTCCATATGTAAATGTGTAACAGAATGTATTGTGAAAATGTAGTGGAGTTGAAAGTACAGAAGTAAAAGCAAAATGTAGCTGGAAATAAATCTACTTAAGTAAAGTACATTTACATTTTTTTTTTTTAATTAAGTACAGTATCGAAATAAATGCACATAAATGTTACATCCGATCCCACCACTGATTTGCAGTTCTATTGGGTTCCAAAGGATGTGATGTTCCATTCACACTGTCAGTGAGTGAGTGCATGTTTCTGATCCTCAGTGTTGGTACTGGAGTTAGTGTGGTTTGTGTTGTGCACTTACCAACTCAACCTTCTTTGGTTTTCTTGCTCTCTGTATCTTGAGTGGCTCCTGAAAAATCAATATATGACATGATCATTTAATACAAGCCACATTCTTGCCTTTCAGCCTGAGGCCACTTTGAGCTTCTGTGAACTCAAACTGGTTGTAGCTGGTATCACAACAGCCCACAGAGGTGAAGAGAAAAGCATACATTCCTCCTTAACCACATCTGCTTCTGTCAAACTGGTTTACAAGTGTCGAGCATGCACGCACACACACGCATTGTGCTATATGGTAATTGCTCTGGCATGCGCAGAGCATAGCCTCCAGAGAAAAAGACTTGCCGGAGTTATGCAAGCTCATCCACACCAGACCCATATTCCACACGTGCTGCCTGAAAGGGGCGTCTCTGCCCTAAAAAGTACAGCATGTTCTCTGACAGTCAAGAAGGGGGTGCGTGCTCCTCCTTATACATGTGCCTGATGTACTGTGAAAATCTATACATAGGACAGTGGCAAATTTCTTTAACCTAACCTTTCTTCCTACTAACCGAACAATAATTCAATAAAGTCAATAATTATGTGAAGTGTATCCTTTAGGTTTGACCTATATTGTTTCTATGTTGTTGCTTCTATAGTCTGTTTAGGCAATGAAATACATTGGCTCAATTTCTGAGAAAATACTGTTTACATATAGGCCATAACTGAAATAAAATAAATGGCACAATTTTGCATCATCTTACAGCAATCACTTCAATTTCTCTCAGGCGTTCTTATCATGGTGACTGAAATGCTGTCAGGCCTGTATGGTGTTTATATTGTTTTACGTAATTAGAAGCTGCAGGGCATGCTCATTGTGTTGGCAGCTAACAATGAGCACAATGAGTGAGTGTTTTGTGACTGGAGCTGTTGTGCTGACAATATGTTTCTGCTATAATCGACAAACTCAAGACGAGTGTGTATGGCTGCTTTCTGTGTCTCACACTACGTTATCGGTTCAGCCTCATGGGCCCAACAATATCTGATTCATCCCGTCCGTGCCAACCAATCACAGGGGCTCAAACAGGACCCTATGTAAGGGGCTTTTTAGCACAACAACTGAATGGTTCAGTGAGAGTGTGGTGTTGCTTATCATGTATGTATTGGATACTTGCTTGGTTACCAATTGCAGCACCTATGAGGGGGTGATGTTATACAACCCTATCTTTGGCCACACAAGAAGAAGGAATGGCTGGTTAAAAGAAGCTATGACTACTTAAAGCCAGAGGTAGTGAGACAGGTTTGTCGTGGGAAACAGTTCTGTCTTAGCAAGACAATCACTGATCACCAGAAACCTGCCACAAACTCCCTAAGGACATACAGTACACCCTTTATTTATGGAAGCCATTGTCCACTGGAATCTTATTACCCTTCAGTCACTAATACATTTACATAATGAATACAAGTCTGCTTTAAATACAGTTCTAAAATATGCTGTAGGGGGAGTTTCTTAATTTGAATATGCCAAGCACACAATTGAATGTATGCCTTGATAGGAAAGAGAGAAATCGTGAGACATACTTGAGGATGAAGATTCTGGTGCTGGGTCAGCAACAGGGGCTGGTGCTGAGGGGGCTTCAATCACAGGATCCTGTGCCGCGTTGTCCACCTTGGACTCAGAGGTTACAGTCACTGGTAAAGCTTCAGGCGTTACTTCTGCGGGCAGCTTTGAAACAGCTGGTGGGGGCACTGCTGCCTCTGCTGTGTGGACAGGTTCAGCAGTAGAAGATTCAGCTTGTGGAGCCAAAGCAGGGGCCTCAGCCAGGGCTGCAGGAGGGTCTGTGGCTTCTTCAGCAGCAGTCTCAGTGTTTGCTACATCTGTGACAGGGGATAATGGAGGCATCTCTGGAATAGTGGCCACAGCAATCTCAGTATCTATTACAGGCTCTACAGGAGCTGAGGATTCACCTGGTGCTGCAGCCTCAGTTGCTTCTAAAGCTTCACCTGGTGATGCAGCCTCAACTGGTGCTGGTGCTGAAGCCTCAGTTGGTGCTGGTGATGCAGCCTCAGCTGGTTCTAACACTTCTGCTGGTGCTGCAGCCTCAGTTGGTGCTGGTGCTGAAGCCTCAGTGGGTGCTGGTGCTGAAGCCTCAGTTGGTGCTGGTGCTGCAACCTCAGTTGGTTCGACAGCTGAACCTGGTGCTGCATCCTCAGTTGGTGCTGGTGCTGCAGCCTCAGTTTGTGCTGGTGCTGCAGCCTCAGCTGGTTCGACAGCTTCACCTGGTGCTACAACCTCAGTTGGTGCTGGTGCTGCAGCCTCAGTTGGTTCTACAGCTTCACCTGGTGCCACAGCCTCAGTTGGTTCTACAGCTTCACCTGGTGCTGCAGCTTCAGTAGGTACTGAAGCCTCAGCTGGTTCTACAGTTTCACCTGGTGCTGCAGCCTCAGTTGGTGCTGGTCCTGAAATATCACCTGGTTCTAAGGATTTAGCTGGTGTTGTTAAAGCAGTTTCTGCTGCTGCATTGTCAGGTGGAGCCTCTGCCTCCACAGGAGCAGACACTTCTGCAGGGGCCTCAGCGACCTCAGTTGCTGCCTCTTCCACCACCACTAGGGCCTCTGCTGGCTCAGATACAACAGGTTGAACATCAGGGGTAAAGGGTTCAGGGGAGGCCTCAGAGAGTACAACAGCAACCCCCTCAACAAAAGGGGCCACTGTCTGCACCAATACAACAGAACCAACAGTGGGGGTCTCCTCATTGACCTCAGCCACTGCAGGTACAGCTTCCTCCCCTGGGGATATTGCCTCCGCTGCCACAACAGCAGCCTCGGCTTCAGTAGAGACTTCTGCTGGAGCAGCAGTTGGAGCCTCTGGAGCTGGCTCTTCAGGAGCAGGTTCTGGCTGTGGTGCAGCAGCCAGAAGGTCCTCTCCAGAGCCAAGATCCTCCTGGGCCTCAAGGGCTACTAACACGGCCTCTGCCTCATCATCAGTTCCTGGCTGGAGATCATCTGGTAAGGCAGTCTGCACAGGCAGCTGCATCTGGTCCTCGATGGTTTGTGCATCTTCTGCGATGATACCATTTCTGACCCCTGTCAAGAGACGGACAACAAAACCTTGATTAGGATTTAACCTTGTGACCCTGATCAATCCTCATCAGCCCAAGTGGTGAGGTCTTGTTAATATGTAACACTAACTACATGATAACAGTGACCAACAAAGCAAGTCTTCAGGAATGTTACTTACCTAAATTATTTGTAAACTTGGTAGGGGGTCTTAATCTCTCTACTAGTCTGTATGGTTTTGTTAATAAATTACCACATCAGTCACTGATCTATTTTCATACCATGTACCAGAGTAAGACATTGAATTATCTGAGCAAATTGCAAGGTGTTAGGTGCAATATGTTCCTGTATGGTCCTTTGTTTAATTAATACATTATACTTATTTTTGAACTGATTTCAGTTTGGTAATTTCAGATTTCATTTGAAGTGCACATGAGATTTATCATTGTGGATTACTTTAGCTCACTAAACACGTAAAACCTCAATACATGAATGAAGGAGATGCAGCATATTACTCAACATGGAAAGCAGGAAATAAGAAATAAGGGGCACACAGTATGCGTGCTGAGAAAAGCATCCTTTCATTTCCGTGGCTGAAAGAGTGATTTATTGAAGCCGGTGTTTGTCAAAAGGCCTGAGGACAAGTCTTTCTCAAAGGAAATAAGACACATGTGACAATGGCTTTGTAGCCTTCAGAGAAATAACTATGTTTTAATTTTTATCTACTAAACCTTGTTCTTATAGCTGTGCTTGTGAACAAGCTTTGGGGAAAACTAAAGCCGAGAAGGAACAATAGTGAGCTTGGGTAGTTTCACTCAAATGTCAGGAACATCAATGCACATCTCAGTTACAACAGAAGCTTTTGACGTATATTATTATTTTACGGATAACTGGGTGGACACAAATGAGATGACCGAGAAGGGTGCAGTCGGCTGAATGAGCAGATGGTTTGGACGCTGCAGCTTCCTGATTTTATTCGTCTGTCAGAAGGGATGAAAAGAGCTGAGAGTGATGGGTGGAAGGGAATGTGGCGGCCTGGCAACTCGAATGACAATGAGCCAGTGGAAGAACACGCAACTTGAATGTCTAGGTTGAAACCTGTTTTATACTCACCAAGCATTTGAGCTGAGAGTAGTGTTTCTTCTACAACTTTTTAAAGGCTAGTAAAGTGATTTGACTGTCCTTAAAAGATTTTTCTGAATCAACCTCCTACTGTTACCCATAAATCCACCTCACAGACCAAATATGACACAGAATAATAGAAAGCTATTGTCTAACCACTGGGCCAGAACTGGTGCTGGAAAGTCAAATTGTATGTTTGGGTCGAGACGGAGACAGCCTCTCCAGACATGGATGGTTTGCGTGTCAACATGATTTAGCAGCCAAAGATGACAGAGATCCCAGTCAAAACAGTGGCATGGCTCGCCAGAGGCACAAGAGGGCGGGGGTGAGAGGGGTCTGACAGGGGATGGGACCAGTGGTTACTTGGACGGAATACAGTTGATTTGTTAAACAGACTGTATACTGTGTGATTTAAAGCCACTTTTTACAGACGACTGCCTGGACAATAAGTGGTTTTCTTGTTGGGCTGATGTCAGAGCCTGGAAAGTGATCCAAGCTCCTCCAGGTGACCCTGGCTGGGCAGCTGGAGAGACAATGCCCTGACACAAACATCACACAGTGACATAGTGGAACATGGACATGCTCTACTTTGACACAGAGGAACTATGCCACCTCCTAATAAGTATATGGAACACTTTATGAAAAACATTCTTAAAAACAACAATCATCATCTTTTCCTTATGTAAATCAAATCATTTATTTGACTGGAACAAAAGCAATAACAAAAGACAAGGGGAGTAACTGTCATGTTGTATGTATAGGGAGGGGGTGGGTGGGATGCAATGAGAACATACTGTACATGCAGCTGTGCCTGACATGACATTGCCACATGCCAGTGGGCTGTCGAACCTATGAATGGACAATCCTGGACTGTGTCAGGCTTCTTGGTGGGCGTCTGCATAGGCTTGAACATAGATTCCATGTGCAAAGCTTTAAACATATCTGAAGTCACAAATCACTCCACTGAGTGTGGCAGCAAACAGCTTGGGCCACACATCCGGCCTCAGGCTGCAAATACTCTGTTAAGAGTTCCCAGGTGGATTCAATCAGGGCTTTTGGAGGAGCTGCATGCAGCCCCAGCTAAAGCAATGTATATAAATCTAAATCCTTCATTCACTGCACTTTTACAGTTTTTAATCAGAGGATGTCATGCAAAACAATGGCAGACTAAAAGCCAACCACTGTGAAAGTGGTTAGAAAAGGTCTCAACATGTCAGTAGTTCTCTGTCCACTGCAGAGTGCTGTGCAGCAGAATAAATGAAAAAGCACACGGTGTACCAGACGTACCGGCAGCAGCCATGCACCCCTCAGTGAGATCAGACTCAGAAAGTGAAGAGCAACTACTGCACATATCTGAGAACATGTATGATCAGCCTCAGCATGAATATATAGAGAGTAAAAAAACACATATGCTGGTGTATATCATATTTCAAAACCAACTCACAGATACATTCACTCTTTACAAATGTGATCTCTACTTACCTGCTGTGTCTCCATTGCTCTCCTCTGGCTTTGTACCTGGCCTTTTCTCTTGATCCACAGTCTGTGCACTGGATGAGGAGCACCCCATGTTTGATGAAAAGGGATGAGGTGATCCAAAAACCTGGAAGCTATTGAGGAGCCAACACAAGTCCTAGTGCTCTATTTCAGCAAAGACAGAGAATGCCAAGCAATAAAAACATAGACAGCAAATCTCTCCTTGGTTTCTAAGAGTAGCTGGGCACCATTATCTCTCTGTCTGTGTGTTTGCACATGGCCTGCTGCCCTCTGGCCCCAGACAAGGATCTGTTGTGAGCATTTAGAGCAAAGCAGCACAGGCAACTCCAGCTGAATGTTCCTAGACTGCTTCCTGCTCACTCTATTCATACAGGAGGAGGAGGAGGAGACAAACACGTGCATGAAGTGTGTGTCCTCCCCTTTATAGGAGTGTCCCCTCTGGTTTTAGAAAAGCACTTTAACAAGGCATTTCTCTCTCTACTGGCTCTATTTTTGGAGTCACTGAAGGTATGCTGTTTAAATATTGACTGAGCAGCTTTGAGTACATTCTGTGCTTGCTGTGACAATAAGTCCCCAATGGACATCATCACAAAAGCTAATAAAAACAAGATGAGTCGGTTTTCTGTTTCAGAGAGTTAATAATTGACTTGGCATAATATAACAAAGACCATTACAGGAAAAAATACATTGAATACATTGTGTTGTATACAAAAGTGTACAAATAGCTTCCGCAGAAAGCATTGCATTTGTGTAACTTGCTGAGCAGGAGTCAAAGGATCCTGGGGATGCTGCGCCGGATGGACGAGTCTCAGCCTGTTTATTTGTGCACAACTTGATTCTCGAGTTTCTCCAGCTTCTTGGACATAGTCTCAAGTAGGAAGGTTAAGGAAAGACACGGATACATATAGAGAATTTATATTCAAATCATCACAAAAGAAAAAAGGAGTGTATAGTGTCTCATCTAGTGGTTGCATGTAACTCAATACATTTACTCAAGTGCTGAAGTATTATAACTTCAAATCTTCTATGACTTCCTATATATTAAATAACAAATAATGTACTTTTTACTCCTATACATTTGTCTCACATTACAATTGTATGGACAATCTATTTTGTTATGTTATAATAGTCATTCCAAACATACATTTTGATTTGTTTAATTGAATATAATTTCAGTGTATTTAAATTTCTCAAATAATTAAATCTATATAAAGCTATCAACAAAATTGTAGTTAACAGAAACTGCTGGCAAAGTTAAGTTGTATGTTTTGAGTTTAGTTTGAGTTTGAGTCTTTGAAAAGCCACACTTTCATCTCTGGCTGTGCTTGGTCAACTGCTGTAATCACAAATGCACCATTTTATTTGCAGTGGAGCCCATTGGCTGTTGTTACTACACTGTACATGCAGTGATTAGCCAGAACCAATTTATGAGCATTCATGAGGGAGCTCAGTATATAACTGTGAAGGTGAACCAGGGAGAGGGGGATGGGCACAGCTGAGACTGGTTGGCCATTCAACTCTCCCTGGTTCACATGGAGATGCTCACTGAGCCACCTTCACAATAACTTATATGTTCAATTATTATCCCTTCACTTTGATAGTGTATAATTAGTGTTGACATTCACTGTCTGACCAGACCATGTAGAAATATTCTGTTAATTAATATTGTATTAATTGTACAGGTTTTAATTGTAATACAAGTAGTTTATGATTTGGACCTCCTAGAGGAGAAAACACTTCATTATGTTTGACCCTGTTAAATATGTTCAGATTAAGACTGATTTGTTTGACATACAAATTAAGATTTGGATAAAACACTGTGGATAAAACCCATAAAGTGCTATTCTTTTTTCCTGGTCCATCACACGTGTCAGAGTTAAAGCTTTGTCCTGTTTGCTTCTAAATGCATACAAAAAGACATCATTGTACAGTGTGTCTGTTAATAGTATACAACATGATTCCATTCTGTATTACAAATGACGCATGAATCTTTTTAGCACTACTGGATGTGCAGTGTTTGTGAAACAACCAGCGGTGCTGATGTGTTTCCTGTGTCTCTTATTAAAGGCAAATACCAAAACTTTATTTAGAATGCTCTTCTATTTGGAAAATACCTGAGAAGCTTACCATAAAACTGAATGTGTGTGTTTGTATAATAATGGAGTAAAGGATATTATTCTGCACCAGGTTCTTCAGCTTCTCAGTGACCTGGTTTTGAAACATGATCACGCTCTCACACTGGCACATGTTTTCTTCTGTTGGTTTGTCTGTGGGAGAAAAAGAAATAAGATGAGAAACCTTGGATCGGTTTGTCCTGTCTCACCTTCACTCTCACCCTTTCCCTCACCCTATACAATTCAAAGTGTATTATGCTATGAACACAACAGGTGGCAGTGATGTGCCATTTTCTACTCGGCATTAAGCTCAAGAATACTGAGCAGTGATGTTAGATCTGGTTTCTGGTTGGTAGAGCACTGCGCTTTTAAAATTCAGGCTGACTTCTTCCCTAAAGTCTGCTAGAGTAGAGCAGGAGCTACAGCCTTCAGCTGTCGAGCCCCTTCTGTGGACTCATCTCCAAGTTTCAGTTCGGGAGGCAGACACCCTCTCAGTTTAAGAGTAGGCTTGTGTCTGGTTCAGGTCTGTCTTGGATCACATAGATCCAGGATGCAACCCCATCATGGATCGTGGTGGCAGCTAATCGTGGATTATTATTACAACTATTTGTGAATATGTGCTATACAAATAGAATTGTGATTGACTGATGGTTTGACAGAGTAGTTCAGTACTTCAGCTGTGTGTGACTACCTTTACATATCCTGGATTTGAGCTTCTTTGTAATTTCTCCCATCTTTTCAAAATCCTCTGCATAGTAAAGATGCTTTTCATTAGGCTCTGAGGCTATTTCTCTCAGCTCCTGCTCAATGGCTTTTCCAACACCCAAGGCATACATGGTGATTCCTGGAAGTAAAAGACAACACGATGAGCAGCATATGGCAGTCGGATTTAAATTCGATTTTTTGATTAAAATGTATAACACTACAAATTGTCAAATTTCCAATGTATAGCTAACCAGAGTTCTTTGCTTTAGTCGCCCATTCAGAAACATCATCCTGTGATCTCCCATCAGTGAACACAACGGTGACACGTGGGGTGTTTGGCCTGGCACCCTCTTTGACTGAAAAGCTGAACTCAAACATGTGACGCAGGGCTGAGCCGGTCATAGAACCTCTCCCCATGTACTGCATCTGGGCCACAGCTTGTTTGACATCCCGCGCTGTGGTGTACTGGCCCAGGGTGAACTCGGTGTGGACCTTGGTGGAATACTGAAGAAGGCCGACGTGTGTGCCCATCTTGGAAATGTCCAGCGAGTCGACAATGCCGTTTACAAACTGTTTGACCAGCTCAAAGTTGGCAGGGCCCAGACTCTTGGAGCCGTCGATCACAAAAACCAGATCCATGACTCCATCGCCACACTCTGGCTCTGTCAGACACACGTTTAAAAAATTTTAAAAAGCATGTTTCATTTATTATTACATAAGTGAACATTTGAACGTGATGGTCTGTATTTCAGGAATTAAAGATCATACTTTTGCAGCTCTTCCCATCCTCAGCCAAGATAAATCCTTCAAAACATCTGCACACATAAGAGTCAGTGGTGCTGACACACTGATGTTCACAGCCATGGTCAACAGTCTGACATAGATCCAGACCTGTGAGTTTAATTGTACAGAGACGGACATTTAAAAAAAAAAAAGATGTTGCAATCATTCAAATGAATAAAAACTTCTAAAAGTTTTTTGTTTTTGCAGTTTGATGATGTAACATGCAAATAGAGCAGAAGGGTGAAGAAACATTCAGAGCAACATTTGAAAACATGCAGATGAAAGTTGATCTTGTAAAATGTTTCTGTTATTTTGACACAGTTGTATAATCAAGCCAGTCAGTCTATTTGTATATGCTGCATGTGTATATGTATACATAGACGTGTAGGATTACATTTATCTATGTATATGATTTAGTAGAATCAAATTGTAATTTTGCAAATTAATATGCTGACATGAAACATCTGTGATGTCCAGTTTACTTGGACTCACTCTGACATGTTTTGCCATCAGGTCGCAGTGTGTATCCTTCTCTGCATTTACACACACATGAATCTTCTGTGTTCATAAAGTCGTGTTCACAGCCGTGTTTCCCATCAGCACAGTGATCAGTCTCTGCAGGGATTATAATCAGATTAAGGAGAAATTAGTGAGAAAATCTCTGCACTGCTTCCCAGTGTGACCCACACAAATGATTTATCATCAGTGGTGATTGAATGTATCATGTCATCTGAACAGCATCAGTCAAAAACACATTATTAGGTGACTGTGGCTGAGGGGGTAGTATGTGTAGCGTGGTCCTATACCCAGAAAGTAAGTAATCCGATCCCTGTCTTCCCCAGCTGCATGCCAAAGTGTGGGCAGGAAACTGAACCCCGAATTTCCCCTCATTGAAAAAGCGCTGCCCATAGATGCACTGTATGAATGTGTGTGGGAATGAACTGCACTGTAAAGCCGGGTCTTTGTAAGTTTCATTATAATAGCGAGTGTTCGTGTGAATGGGTGAATGTGGCTTGTGCTGCAAAGTATTTTGAGTGGTCAATAAGACTGAAGCACCATACAAATACAGCCCGTTTACCATAAAAGAAAGATTTAACCCCAGACAAATAAATAATGTTGAGGCTTGAATCTGATCATGACCAACTTTTCACATTGAAGCCAAATCAGTGACTAGCTAATTATCACATTTTTGCATTTTGCAATTATTAGTTTAAAATGCTTGTTGTCATGTCGGACTTTTAGATTCAACCACAAAGGCAAATGGTTTTTAATAATGCAACATTTGATCAAGGAAATCTGCATTAGATATTCATTCTGTGCACAGATAAATCAAGATATCATTGTGGTAGAACTAACTCTGAGATTCTTATGCAAAAATATATATTTTTTCCATTACAACAACAAAAGGAGAGAAGCATTTGGATTCTTACTCTTGCATGTTTTCCCATCAGGCCTGAGGGTGTAGCTTTTTCTGCATTTGCACACACATGAGTCGTCTGTATTTTCAAACTCCTGTTCACAGCCATGAGAACCATCAGCGCAGTGATTAATCTCTGGGTGACAATGGACAAAAACCAAAAACAGAGAGATTGTTGCTTTATTTCCATTCTTCACAGGCAAATTGTAGAAATGCTACACCAAAGTAGGATAACAGGATAGATACAAATCTGGACAGCGTTACACATGTTAATTATGTAAATTAATAACACATCATTGTTTAAAGTTCTGTCTTGCTCTAAAAGTATAAAGAAATAATAGAACTTTTAAAATATAGCGTAAGTTGGGGGGAAAAAAACCTGACACTTACTCTTGCAAGTTTTTCCGTCAGGGTTGAGGGTGAAGCCTTTTCTGCATTTGCACACACATGAGTCGTCTGTATTTTCAAACTCCTGTTCACAGCCATGAGAACCATCAGCGCAGTGATCAATCTCTGGGTGACAATGGACAAAAAACAAAAACAGAGATGAGCAGAGAGATTGTTGCTTTATTTCCCTTCCTCACAGACAAATTGTAGAAATGCTATACCAAAGTAGGATAACAGGACTGATACAAATCTGGACAGCGTTACACATGTTAATTATGTAAATGAATGACACATCATTGTTCAAAGTGCTGTCTTGCTCTAAAAGTATAAAGACTTTATGGAGCTTTTCAAATATAGCGTTAGTTGGGGAAAAGAGTATCTGACACTTACTCTTGCAAGTTTTTCCGTCAGGGTTGAGTGTGAAGCCTTTCCTGCATTTACACACACAGGAGTCTTTGGTGTTCATAAACTCCTGCTCACACCCATGCGTGCCATCAGCACAGTGATCAATTTCTGGATGCCGTTAGATATAAACAGAAGAGCAGAGAGATTGTTAGTTTCTGTGGCAGCTCAATGAAGCCAGACTTAATTTGATGTTTTTAGTATCCCTCTGTTCTCAGAAGTTCTTCATTGAATGCATGCAAATGTGAATTGCCTTGCGTCAACCTGCTCCTCGCTGGACTGCTGACGCAGTAGGTGACTGTTTTCAGTCACTTTTACCTGATGCTGCAAGACAAAGTCATTTATTGCTGCAGCTCCTGCCATCCTCATTGAAGACACAGACCCTCTTATCTGTGTAGCTGTAGAAGTGACTGCTGCTGCATTTATGAGAATTTCTTTTGTAACAGCTTTTGCAAAATCGAGGACTTGGACATAAACACATACTGTGCATAGTCTACCAACCATACAATAACAAAACGGACAAAAGACTCATACAAATTATCCTTCCACTAACAATCAATATTCACTTAAAGGTGCAGAGTTGTGAACCCAAGACAGGAAAGATCAAAACTTCATTTGTGTTTTGATTTGGAGATACTATGACACCCTGGATACACCTCCACGTTTCACCAGCCACTCTGATGATTGCAAAAGCACACTTCCTTCAGGAAAACTCCCCCACTTAATCTCTGTTAATGTCCTCTAGAGGAGCAACAGAGACGCTTCCCAGCCATGGGGGGAGGTACATTTCTAGTAAGAGGAATGCTGACTTGAATTGGAAGTTCATCAAAATGACACGTTGCCCATATTTATCGTAGCGCACTTCTGTTCATTCATCAAACAAGTCTTATATTTTCTGCATTGAGGTGATGCACATCATCTACTGAGGAAATCTAATATTATATAAAAACTGCTCTAAAAGGATTAGTATTTTTATGTTTCATTAGTATTCATGGTGATCAAAATCACTGTGTATATGTAAACCAGAAACAACACCACACTGAAGAGGTTCAGATATAAATAGGATCTGCACAGTAGATCGTGTTGCACTGGAGAATATTCAATGTGCTTCATTTTGATGGACTTGTATTAGAGCTTCCTCTGGTCTATTTTCAAAATTAGAAGATTCTCCATCGGTCTGGTTCAAGGAATTAAAATACACTGATTGAATGAAGCTGCAAATATTGTCATGTGTATGCAACTGGATATCATTATTTAGGGCTATTAGGGCTTTAGAGTCAATCATTAAAATGCAAGAAAGATGGAAAAAGTTCCTGGTTAAGTGGTTAGTATGATATATTATATAATATATTTTTACTGTTGATAACCCGGCCGACAGTGGCACTCGTAGTCGTCAGGCAGGAGAATACAGATGTGTTCACGGCTGATCCACCACAACATGGGGAGAAATGCTCTATCTACAGAGGAATCAAACTTGCAACAACTGCTTGATTTGTCAGACAAAACAAGCTGTAAACAAGACACTGATATATTGTTTATCATCTGTCAAGTGGCAAACCTATCAGCAAACAAATTCTTCACAAGTTCACTGGAAACAGAAGAAGTGCATTGTTCTTGAAGTCCAAAATTCATGCTACCTTCAGTTCTGTTTTGGTCTCCACCATCTGCTGAGAGAAGTGATTGTCTCTTTGGCTGTGCTCCACCATGTTTGCCAGTTCGAACTGTATCTGCTGCTGCACATGTGCAATGATTTCCTGTTAAGTACTGCTGCCTTAATGAAGCCTGACGAGAGTCAAGCTGAACAGAAAAGGTGAGGCCATAAAATCGTTTCTTGTTTGTCATGCCAAGGTCCAACAATCCCCTTTATTCAATCAAGCTGCACCAAAATACACACCCATAGATATTGGTTAAGTGTGCTTCAGTTTCAATTATTTTGAGATTTAGAAATCTCCCAATGTAAAAGAAAGTGATAAAAGAAAATCCTTGATTCACCCTCTGATCCAGATCTACACCTACATTTGATGGGTTCTTCAAGGGTTTGTGATATTGGAAATTGGATCGATCATGCCTTCATCATATTGTGTAGGAAAGTGAAGCTGCTTTGTGAATGTGAATGAGTAAAAGAGAAGATTCTCTGTTAAATTAAAAAACAGGTCCATCACCTTTACATGTCTTGCCATCAGGGTTTAGGATGAACCCTTCCCTGCACTGGCACCGGTATGAAGCAGGGCTGCTCACACAGATATGTTGGCACTGATGGTCCACAACCTCACACATCTCTGAAACTAATGCATGCAGGGACATACATGACACATAGACTCAAACTCATGGATATGCACATGCTTGCATAAATGAAAGAAAGGAGAGGGTTTCGTCACCTCCACACAGTGTGGACTGGAACACGGAGATGAGGGTTGCTATCTGGCTGAAGTTGGCCACCAGGTGAACATGCTCAGAGTGAGGCTCGCTCCCTATGGCCTTCAGGGTGTTCATATCCACCCTGCCCACTCCTATAGCAAAGATCTGGATGCCAGCCTGCCGCGCCTGAGCTGCAACTTCCTCCACTGTGTCCTGTGGCCTCCCATCAGTCACAATCATAGCAATTCGTGGGATGTGCAGGTTTGCCGGTCGTGCTCCCTCTTCCTCCGTGAAGGCAGTCTCCATGGTGTACTGGATGGCCAGACCGGTCATGGTCCCTGTGGCAAGGTGCTCCATGTTCCTCACCGCCTGCTCCACTTCGGCCTTATTGGTGTAAGTCTTGAGGGAGAACTCAGGCTGGACCACGCTGCCATACTGGAGCAGACCAACCCGTGTCGCATCAGGGCCAATCGTGAGGAACTGAATCACGTTGACGATGAAGGTTTTGACCTTCTCATAGTCGCTGGGACGGATGCTTCTGGAGCTGTCGATTACAAAGACAAAATCCAGTGGGGTGGCCTTGCAAGGGTTCTCTGTGATGAAAGACATGGAGGTACATTGTGATCAATTGACTTCAAGCCGTAATTGAAACCAGATTTAAAGACCTATCTGGCTTTGTGACAGAAAGAGATGGTAAACAAACACAGATTTTATTAATAACTCACGTGCTGCTTTGGTTTGGACAGCAGTCTCATTTTTCCTTCTGGCCATGATGGGTCTTGGACGGCGCCTTTCAACCCGAACTGCGTTACAGCAAAACAGGCAGACGAGGCAGAGGGCCAGGATCTTCATTCTGACCAGAGGTGACAACTGCAGCATTTATAGAGAGATAAAGGAACAAACACAAGAGGTGATAGAAACACCCAGCATGCCATGCAGGTCTGCATGAAAAGTAAAAAACAGCAACGAAGCAGGACGGAAACATGAACACAAAATCTGTTGTTTTTTTTACCATATATTAGTTTTTTTAACTACATAAGTGTCCATATTTGCACTTAAATGTACTTAATGACATCCTGTTAAATAGCTATCAAATTATAATATTGTGATTACTAAGAATAGATGTGTGCACCTCTCATCTAAATATATTTGCACAGTTAAAGTCAGTTATGTTGTGAGAAATCTTGGGGGAATTTAAAATGGTCATCAAGTTGGGGGGTTGGGGGGGTGTACTGTACTGACGTCTAGTGGTGAAGTTGCAGATGAAAAATATTTAAAACATATTAGAGCAGCCTGTGGTCAACCTTAGAGTCATGCTGTATGAAAATGCTTCCTATGGTATAAAGACAATGATGAACAAGTAAATAACCAAAAACATTTTAGAGGAAAAGGGACATTGTTTATTTCTCCTTTCCATTAAAATACTCAGTTGTTCCTCCCTCATAGGTACAGTATGTATATATAAATGTATATCCTGTGTACATACATTTCATTGCCAGCCAGAATCAGTAAGGATTTTTGGGAACCTGATTAATACAACAAAATGACACGTCCTGTATTATATAGTGTTTGTTTATTGTCCAATTTACCACCAAATCTTATTGATATCTGTTGTTTTCTTGAGATATTCTGCTTATCGAGACAAACATTATTCTACAGGACTGAAAACCTAATGAGTGTCCCTGTGTGAGTAAGTTGAATAGTGAATCGCTACATATAAGTTAATGACCCAGAGGGATATAAATAGTAAGAACTTTCACCTCGTGCATATTTGACCTGCTCAGCTTCAGATTTCACCTCTTGGTGTATAGTTGTATTACATACAGCCTGGTACAAGACTTGGAAAGCAAAGGAAAAAGGCCCATTTCAGAACAGATATTAGAATTATTAGAATAAAAAGATCCTTTTTGTTTATCAATGTCTTTCTTAAAATGTGTGAGCTACACAGGAGGGACATGTTTTCCACTGGTTTCAGGATGTTTTGCTGCACAGGTGGTGTAAAGTGATTTGCAAGAGGCTGAAAAGCACCACAGACTGTTTCCCTATCCAGTCCCCAAGTGAGCCGTTAATATCCAGACTGCTCAGTGTCTGAAACATGTTTGTGATCAGTGCACAAATAGTAAATAGAACCACATTCCAAAACCTGTGGCATTAGTCATACAGGAGCCGTCTAAGTTCTGAGGCAACATGTGGGCGATTAGAATGAGATGAGGATTAGATCTGTAGGTTCTGAACATCTCTGTCAGCCCTGTCCAGGGTGATGACACTGACCAAGGGGTCAACCTGTTTGCAGCTCTAGTAGACAACCAGCCCCTCACTGATACATATATGGAAGCTGCTGACCTGAGAACTGCAGGGGTCACATATCGATGTTGCATCCCACACAGAGCCTTTCACCTATGACCTCACATATGTCTGATGTCTTTCTGCCACAGAAGACTGTTTTCTTCATTAAGAGCAGTCAACATGTAGTGCCACACACAAGCTGCAATCCTGTATTATAAATGTTGATGCGTAAACTCTCACATTTCCTTATGAATGAAAGCCAAAGTAGTGTGTTTACTATGAAATATAAAAACAGCATGTACCTCACTGTGTTTCCTGGGACCAGATCTCTGTTTTGCACATTCCCTTTTGATGACTTCTCATGATGCGCGTGACGTAAGCACAGTTGTTTCCTAACTAGATCTTAAGTAAATACCGAACAAATAAAACTGACTCACACTATCAGGAAAATAAATAAATCTATTTACCTTTCTTCCAATGGAAATGAATAATCTCTCAAATTCCTGCAATCAGAGGCTTCCAAGAAATCCCAACACCGAGTCAGAGCTGAAAAAATCAGTCCAGTTGCTCCAAACTAAAAAATGCTCTGTAAAACCTGTCTTTTAGTATCTGTGAAGGCTCTGCTCTTTACTCCATCCTCTTTCTGCTTCTCTGTTACTCCCCCTCTGACTTTAACCACAGGGACGCCTCCCGTTCGCCTCACACATTCGGTAAAACAGTAACTCTGTGGATTTCATTCAGATACTTTACCAGCAGATATAGCTGGAACCAAACCCCAACGTTTTACTACTTCAAATGTATAGATAATGTGAGTCTTTTTCTATAAAGTGTCTATCTCATTGTATGTAAGGTGGAGTCTTCAACATTTCGAATGTATGTAAGGTGGAGTCTTCAACATTTTACATGTATGTAAGGTGGAGTCTTCAACATTTTACATGTATGTAAGGTGGAGTCTTCAACATTTTACATGTATGTAAGGTGGAGTCTTAAACATTTTACATGTATGTAAGGTGGAGTCTTAACAATTTCACATGTATGTAAGGTGGAGTCTTAACCATTTTACATG